TCGGTGTTGTCGCGTGCGCGTTGGCCACATATTTCGTTGGGAACGGTCTTCTCGCCTCAGCGACGGCCACATCCTTTGGCTCTGGTGCTTTCGCTCGAGCAGCAGCCACATCCTTGATTCGGAATGGTGCTCTCGCCCGAGCTTTTGCCACATCCCTGTCTGGGATCGGCGCTGTCGCCTGCGCGCTGGCCAAATCACTCATTGAGAACGGCACTCGCCTCAGCAATGGCCACATCCCCTTGTTGGCTATGGTGCTGCCGCTCGAGCTCCAACCGCATCTCTGATTTGTCACATCCCTGTCTAGGATGTGTGCTGTCGCTCGCTCGCTGGCCACAACCTTCACTGGGAACGAAACTCTCGCCTCAGCGCCAGCCACATCTCTATGGTGTTGTTGCTCGAGCGCCAGCCACATCCCTGACTGGCAATGGTGCTCTCGCCAGAGCGCTGGCCACGTGGGATTGGTGCTGTCGCCTGCGCTCCGAGCACGTTCTTCACTGGAAACGGTACTCTCGCCTCAGCGCCGGCCACATTCTTCAGTGGCTTTGGTGTTGCCGCTCGAGCGCCAGCCACATCCCCGATTGAGAATGATACTCTCGCCCGAGCACCGGCCACATCCATGGCGGGGATTGTTTTTTTTGCTTGCGCGGTGGCTTTGGCAACGGTGCTCTCGACTCAGCGCCAGCAACATCCTCAATTGGCTTTGGTCTATGGTGCCGCCGCTCGAGCGCCAGCCACCATCCTAATTAGGAATGGTGTCATGTATATTCCTCATTGGGCACAGTACTCTCGCCTTATCGCTGGACACATCCCTATTTGGCTACGGTGCTTCCGCTCGTATGCTGCTTCCGTTCAAGCGCCAGCCTCATCCCTGGTTGGCGCAGCAATTTTAAGGGCCCAACACATGCTGCACCTATGCTGTATAGCGTGGCGTAACCTAAGGCGCCTCCTAAGGCGCAGCTGATGGCCCAACCTATGATGAAATTGTGGCGCAATTCATTGCGCAACGTCTGGCTCTTTCGAAGACGAGACCGAGGATGAGGAGGAGCAGGTAGACAAGACTCCTGCGGCTAGAAGGTGGACAGGACTTATGATTTTCCGCGCCATCGTGGCCTGCAATTGACATCCGTGACTGCGTCCGCGCGTGCCTGGCGAGTGCCGGCGGGGTGGCGTCAGGCGCCAGGTTAACCGCGATAAGTCTTTAGAACCCCCCCCCCAATTGCGGAAACGAATTATTTGTTCGCCTTTCTTCATTGACGGATCGGGACCCAACCGATAGTGTAAAACAATTTTTTATCCGCGGCACCCTTGGCATAACACCACCAACGACGACGAGATGAAAGAGGAGATTCGGATTATCGTTTTTCGGCGAATAACGACGCATCGTCGTATTGCAATCCAGTGACAAACGTGCTCAATATTCCTCTGTCGTGCAGGGTGGCCGTTGGAGTATTGTTTCATGAGAGAAAGAAGCCCTCACGCTATCCAACCCGCTCAGCGACGGGGGGGAATTGATTTTCGCCGCGACGACGGCGCTTATGAGCACGACTAAGACTACTATTACGATTACGGCTACATGCGCGACGACGGTTACGACTACAATCACGATTACATTCTCGACCATCAACACGACTACAATCACGAGTCAAACCACATACTCTGATTCCGATTGCAATCCTAACGAGAAGATGCTCACCAATGCTCTTGCGTGTAGGGTTGCGCACACTGCTTTATTCCCTGGAAGAAAGAAGCCGCCAGCATGATCAGGCCCGCCCACCGGTCGCAGTAGTAGTAGTAGTAGTAGTAGTAGAAGTAGTAGTAGTGGTAGTAGTAGTAGTAGTAGTAGTAGCAGTAGTAGTAGTAGGAGTAGTAGTAGCAGTAGTAGTCATAGAAGTAGTCGTAGTAATCGTAGTAGTGGTCGTAGTAGTGGCCGTAGTAGTAGTAGTAGTAGTAGTAGTAGTAGTAGCAGTAGTGGTAGAAGTAGTATTAGTAGTAGTAGCAGTCGTAGTAGTAGCAGCAATAGCCGTCGGAGTAGTAGTAGCTGTATGAGGTAGTAGTAGTCGCAGTAGTAGGAGTAGCCGTAGTGTTCGTAGAGGTATTTGTTGTGCTAGCGGCAGTAGTAGTAGTAGTAGTAGTAGTAGTAGTAGTCGTCGGCGTCGTAGAAGTAGGAGTAGTAGTAGCCGTTGTAGTAGTAGTCGTAGCCGTAGTTGTAGCACTTTTTGTAGTAGTCGTAGCAGTAGTAGTAGTAGCAGCAGTAGTAGTAGTTGTAGCAGTCCTTGTACTCGTAGCCATCGTAGTAGTAGTATCAGCATTAATAGTCGTCGTTGTCGTAGTCGTAGCAGTAGTAGCAGCAATTTTTGTAGTCGTGGTAGTCGTTCTAACGATCGTAGTAATAGTCGTAGCCGTATGCGTAGTAGTAGTAGTAGTAGTAGTAGTAGTAGCAATCGTCGAAGTCGTGGTAGTAGTAGCCGTCGTAGTACTTTGAAGTTGTAGTAGTAGCATT